TTTTAGGAACCGTGCCATGAAAGTGATGTGACTGGCTAGGTCTGTCGGCACCACTGTGTCAGAGAGGTGTGGCCACATAAGAAATGTTCTGTCCCAGAGGGATTGGGGTGGGGGCGGCTTTGTTTTCGCCAAAGCCCACCTATCCCGGAGGCTCCCCAAACAATGAACTGAAGCAAGAGGAAACCAATGGTCCCCCCCCCCTCTCTCTCCCACCCTCCTTCTCCTTCCATCCCTCTCTCTTTTCCTCCTTCCCTCTCTCTCCCTCTTTCTCCTTCTCCCTCTCTTCCTCCCTTTCTCTCCCCCGTCCTCCTTCCCTCCCTCCCTTTGTCCCTCTCCCTGTCTTCCTCCTTCCCTCTCCCTGCTTCCTTCCCGCTCTCCCTCCCTCTCCTCTTTCTCCCTCCTTCCGTCCCTCTCCCTTCTTCCCTCTCCTCTCCCTCCCTCTCCCTCCCTCTCCTTCCCTCTCTCCCTCTTCCTCCTCCCTTCCCTCTCCTCTCCCTCCTTCTCTTCCTCTCCCTCCCACCCTCTCTCTCCCCCCTCTCTCTTTTTCCTTCCCTCTCTCCTTAATCACGTTTCCCTCTTTAAAACTATGTACAGGTAGTCGTTCATTTACAATAGTTCATTAGTGACCAATTCAAAATTACAAGGGCAGTGGAAAAAAATGACTTCTGACCGTTTTTCACTGTTATGACCTTTGCAGCATCTCCGTGATGACAAATTCGGACACTTGTTGACTGGCTCATACTTACGACCGTCGCTGTGTCCCCTGATCCCCTTTGGCGACCTTCTCACAAACAAAGTCCATGGGGGAGCCACTTAACAACCAAGTTACTAACTGATCAACTGCAGCTGCTCACTTAACCACCGAGGCAAGGAAGGTTGTGAAATGGGACGAAAAAAAATCAATGAACCAACGTCTCTCTTCACAAGAGGGAGGTTGGGCTCAATTGAGGTCGTAAGTCGAGGATGTCCTGTACTTCTCCCTGCTAGAAAAAGAAAATGGACCAGAAACTTGTTTTTTGTTTTGTTAGGTCTTTCCTTCTTTTTTATGTGAGCGTGGCCGTAATTTTTCCGACTCAGGGTGATGAATGAGAAGACCCAGCCAAGTTATGCAAAGGGTTAATTGAGCTAATGAATGGGATCTTGAATCAAACTCTACAACAGGGGTCCCCAAACTTGGCAACTTAAAGACTTGTGGACTTCAACTCCCAGAATTGAGTTCGATCCAAGGTAGAGGCAGATATTTCTCTCTCTGGGTGCTCGGAGAATATATCTGCCGAACAAAACTCTGCATTGGTGACAGGAAGAGCATCCGGCCAGTAAACCCTTTGCTAACTCCATTCAGTTGCCCAGACTCCACCCCACAAGGGATTATGGGGTCATTAAAAGAAGATAAGGCTACAAGAGCTACCGTTAAATAGTCTGACCTTGAAGAATGACATGCCTCTTTTTCTGCCCCAAACAGGTTCATGATTACCTTAGAAGCAAGTTGTGTTCACTCTATGAAAATGACTGCATCTTCGACAAATTTGAATGTGCATGGAATGGGTCCGACAGGTAATAGCAATAGCACTTAAGACGTCTATACCGCTTTGTAGTGATTTACACCTGGGTCTAAGCAGTTTACAGAGTCAGCCTCTTGCCCCCAACCAACTGGGTCCTCCTTTTACCAACCTCGGAAGGAGGGAAGGCTGAGTCAACTTTGAGCTGGTCAGGATCGAACTGCTGGCAGTCAGCAGAGTTTGCCTGCAATATTATAGGCAAGGGGCAGGAAGGAAGGGAGGGAAGGAGGGAGAAAGGGAAGGAGGGAGGGCTAGCAATAGCACTTTGACTTATATACCGCTTCACAGTGCTTTCCGGTCCCCTTTAAGCAGTTTACAGAGTCAGCCTCTTGCCCCCAACAATCTGGGTTTTCATTTGACCGACCTTGGAAGGACAGAAGGCTGAGTCAACCTTGAGCTGGTCAGGATCGAACTGCTGGCAGTCGGCAGACTGCTTTCTAACCACTGCACACCATGGAAGTTTATTTTATTTTATTGTCATTGCACCTCGTACAACGAAATTAAATACCATCGTTGTAGAGAAGGAAGGAAGGAAGGAAGGAAGGAAGGAAGGAAGGAAGGAAGGAAGGAAGGACTAACAATAACACTTATATACTGCTTTCCAGCTCTAAGTGGTTTACAGAGTCAGCCTCTTGCTCCCAACAATCTGGATCCTTATTTGACTGACCTGGGAAGGACAGAAGGCTGTATCAACCTTGAGCCAGCCAGGATCGAATTGCTAGCTGTGGGCAGAATTAGCCTGCAATACTGCATTTTAACCATGGGAGGAAGGAGGGAGGAAGGACTACCAATAGCACTTAAGAGTTATATATCGCTTTCCAGCTCTCTCTAAACAGTTTACAGAGTCAGCCTCCTGCCATCAACAATCTAGATCCTCATTTTACCAACCTCAGAAGGATGGCAGACTGAGTCAACCTTGAACTGGTCAGAATCCGATTTCTGGCAGTTGGCAGAGTCAGCCTGCAATACTGCATTCTCACCACTGCACCACCATGGCTCTGTAATGCCTCCACAGACACCCCATTTAATGTCTTGGGGTGACTGTCAGTAACTCCTCTGCCCTAGCCAGCTGTCTTTGGCCAGCCAGTAACAAAAGGTCCAGCAGCTTTTCAAAGGTGGCCAGTAGGAACCAGGCAGCTCCCGACCTCTTTGCTGAGGGTGTATGCAGGGTTACCTCCACAGCCCCCCCCTCTCCCCCCCCAAAAAAGGTCTTGGAAGAAGAAGGAAAATGAGGAAAATCTGGATGGAAACCAATTCTCCCAGGCCTGGCGATGATTTGAAGGCAACGAATCATCTGCTATGTCTGGGGGTCAGACTGCGGTAGGCTGCTGGTGGTTCGCACTGGTTCTGGCGGACTGATAGTTAAGATTAGGTCCAGTTCTGCGAGCCGGCAAATCCTACCGCTGGCTGGCTCTGCCCCTGCCCATTTTTGGCCTGGTTTTTGGGCCGTTTTTAGGCTGTTTTCAGGTCACAAATTGTCTGAAAAATGTCCCAAAATGGACTGTTTTTTGGGAAGTTTTCAGGCTGTTTTTGGCCCAAAGGCCCCAAAATGGCCCCCAAATGGTCTGAAAATGTCTCCCAAAACATCCTGAATAACAGCCCAAAGGCCCAAAACTGGCCTGAAAATATCCCCAAAACAGGCCAAAAAATGAGTGGGGACGGGACCAGCCAGTGGTGGGATTAGCCCCAGCTGGCTGAATCCGAGTGGCTGAGAGGCGGGGCTGGGTGTGATGAGTGACATCACCATCCCAGTCACATGACCAACCAGCCATGCCTACCCAGCCAGAACCGGGTATTAAAATTTTTTGCAGGCCACCACTGGGAGGGGTCTTTATCCTTCCCTTTCACAGTGGCTTCCCAGGAAGGCTGTGCACAAGAGAACGTCTTTATACAGCGGTCCTCTCCCTTCTTCATGATGGCCTTTCGGAGTCAGTGTTTTCCGCCTGCAGATGTCACCAACTGAAGCTGCACAAACCATGCTGGCAGCCTCCCAATGTGGGGCCGAGGGCTGCAGCGCAGGGAATTTCCTCTCCTTCCTGGCCAGCTAACTAATCTCTCTGCTCTCCTTCTCCTGCAGCGTCATCATGACCGGGGCCTACAACAACTTTTTCCGAATGTTCGACCGAAACACGAAGCGCGACGTGACGTTGGAGGCCTCCCGCGAGAACAGCAAGCCTCGGGCGGTCCTGAAACCTCGCCGTGTGTGTGCCGGGGGCAAGAGGCGGAAAGATGATATCAGCGCCGATAGCCTGGACTTCACCAAAAAAATTTTGCACACTGCCTGGCACCCCACGGAGAATATCATTGCTATTGCGGCCACAAACAATCTGTATATCTTTCAAGACAAAATGAACACGGAAGTGCATTAGGGTTCCTTTGGAGGGAGACATGTCTTTGGACCAATACTGCTACTTGCTTGATGAGAGAAAGGCCTTTATTGGGAAGTACACACCCTGCAAATCAACGGAGCTTACTCCCCAATAAATGTCTGCAGCAATAAGATGTATGTGGATTAATTATTCCGTGACTCACCACCCAGTCTTTTGATGACCATTCTATATTTTAATTCATTGCAACCACCATACAGTCGTCTCAAAAATAAATTCTCCTTATGACCAGGTGTCTGTTTCATTACTCATCATTTTATTCCGGTTTCTGAAAGACTCTTGGGTAGTCACAGGGTGGCGGGAAAGCCAATCAATCCAGAGGAAAGTTGTTCGATATGGTCCTTGTGATCCGATGTCATAACCCCAACGTGATGCTGGGGTAAATATATGGCACCCAGCTTCATCCTGCTGACCCAGCCGGCCTTGAGAAAAATCTTAAAAACAGGGAAACTAAACTCTTAAAATATAATTGGCATTTAAGCTGTCGGCGTGAGCTCCGAGCTTGGCGATTTGGCTGCAAACATTTTGTCCGTTTGAGGAGACGTCGTCAGTGCGCTTTGAATTGGGTTCGTCGCCAAGGACAATTCAAAGTGCCCTGAGGACGTCTCCTCGAAAGGGGACGAAACGTTTGCAGCCAAATCACCAAGCTCAGAGCTCAAACCGACAGCCTAATCACCAACCCGAGCTACTAATATTCAAACACATTTCAGAATTGGTATCCTCAATTCAAAGAGCGGAGAGGCGGCTTGGGATATCGGCGGGCTTGGATGTCGGTGGGCTTCTGCAAATTTCTTGGATTTGCTCTCCTCCCAATCTCAGAGAAACCCTAATGATTAGGAATAATGGTGAATAATTGGGCAAGGCTCTCTATTCAAACCAGGCTGATAAAAGACTCAGAAGGAGCGGGTGAGGTAGAGCCATTAACCCAGAACTGAGGACAACTTGACTTGACCTCAGAGTAAGGTGAGGCGTGCTTCAAAACCTCCAGTGGCTACTCCATGCATGATGCAGAATCTGGTATGTTAACATACTACATGCATATGAAGGGTACAAAAAAAGAGACGACAATAAGTGTGTGTCATATTTTTAAATCATTATTTTATGCTTGTGATCAAAAAGGACAAATTCATCTCCAGATGTTCATTACCATTTCCAGAGTTAAGCAATCGTGCTTATCACTTAAACCATTTCCTTTCCTCCTCCTTTCTGGAAGAAAAAAAAAAAAAAACGAGGACGGGACGAAGGCCCCTTCCTCAGGAAAAAAAAAAAAACACACCCAATTGTACCGTTGAATTAACTCGATTCTGTTCGCAGGATGTAATTATTGGCAGAGAATTTATTTCCTCCACAGTTCGTGGGCTTAGGAGCGAAGGGAGAACAGAAGCTCATGGTTTCGTGGCGCCTGGCACAAGTCGTAAATTGGAACATTTGTGCCCAGGTTTCATCACGCACCCTCGTTTTAACATCAGTGTGAGTGTTCCAGCTGAGTATTTCACCTGTGGAACACTGTCAATTATTGAGAATAAATAGAAGGCAAAGTTGTGGGTTTAGCATCTTTGGTTAGATAGGTTAGTCCTTTAGAATATCCTTCCTTAGGCTTTCAATCAGTAAGCCGCTCGTCATCCTTCTAAATGTAGAGTCCGCTGTGCAAGGCAGAAAAATTATTAGGACTGCAGGATAACGTACCGCGTTAAAGGCCGTTCAATCTGATTGCGACAACCAAGAGCGGGCATTAACAACCAGAGCTTAAGAGGCAACGGACAGGAAAGGGGAGAATAAAAAATTGAAGGCAAATCTTACGGCTTTCTGAACTGTGTTCCGCCAGTCGTGCTCCACTTTAACGTGCCGGCCGGCCGGGGAGAGTTTCGACAGGCAGTTCAAGCAGGAAAGAGCCTTCAGCTCAAAGACCGGCCACTTGCTCCCCAGGCGGCCTTCCAGGATGGTGCTGAACTCAACCAAGCTGCCCTGCCTCAGGTTCAGCAGCACCTGCTTGAACTCATTGCTGGCCTTCAACACAATGTCCTTGGTGACGTCGTCCACCTCGGGGCCCCGGTTGCCATTCTCGCCACCAAGGGGCATGCCTACGGTTATTTCGAATTTATACCGGTCGAACCTCTTGATGTGACAGTCGTGTTTGGCCAAGTACTTCAAGCGACAGAGCTCCTCCTCCTCCAAGGTGGCGTTTCTGGGGTCGCAAGCGGGATACGTTTCTCCATACAAACATCTCAGCCAGTCCCCAAGGAAAAAGGGAAGCATATTTATGGCGGACTCGGCACTGTTCTCAATGCTGGTCACTCGGACGTACTTGAATCGCCCGGTCCAGGTGACTCGGTGGCCTTCCAGATGACTGCATAAAATTTGAGTTCGCGCCATGTTGGTTTCCTTCCAAGCCCGGGGCCCGCAGAGAAACCCGTACTGATTCCACGTCAACGTCGAGTTGTACACTTTCATCCCTTCTGAGCGATAGACATAAAACCAGCAGAAGAGGACAATGGCGGAAAGCCACACCAGAATAAGTTTCACAATTGAACTCTTGGTTAGGGACGTCACCATCTCGACGATGGAGACTCTGGCCCGCGTGCAAAAGTGGAAGAGCAAAGGAACCGCGCAAAGGAGGAGAGTGACCAGGACCTTGGTCAGCTCCAGCGTTATCAGCCATCGTAGGAAGTGGAAAAGGCACATCAGGGCGACGCCCAACATTAACACCGGAAGGGCAAAGAGGAATAAAAAGTAGCCCACGGAAGCCCGAAGGAGACCAAGCCCGGTCGATTCCTGCAGAATCACGACAGAGAGTTCACACCACATGAAGCAGACCAAGTAAGGAACCAAGTAGCAATAGGTGCCTTTAAATTTCTTCAGTTGTGCCATGCGATAAAAAAGGTAGAACAAGTAGAGGAACAAGAGGCAAGGGAGGCTGAGGTTCAGCACCAGGACGCTGCCGAGGGGAAGACTGTAAAATGTTTTACCCAGGAGCTTCACGTAACCCCAGTGCTCGGGGGCCCCTTGCAGTAGGCAGAGGGCCCCCGCCGTCACCTCGGTCATCAGGGCCCTTTGCGTGTAGGGCTCCGCACTGGTGCACAAGCTCATGTAACTTGTCACCATGAAGAAAACGGAAACGGTGGCCAGCTCGGAGCAGGGCATCCATTCCTTGCTGGCTATCGGGAAGGAAAAAAGGACGAAGAGGACCGAGAGCAGGAAATGGAGATAAGGCTCCAGGTGATTCCAGGTGAAATTCCCTTCTGCCTCATCGACGTCCAGATTGGGCTCGAAACGGAGGAGGATGTCCGTGAGGGTGCGGAAGTTCTCCCAAGCTTTGCTGTCCTGAAAGACTTTCAGGGTGCAAATCACCATGGAAATGAAAGAGAGGTAGAAAATCACGAGGGGGATGAAGAAGGCGAAGAAGTCGATGGTCAGGTTGCTGAGGATGAAGAAGAAGATCAGGGCATTGATCTGGTGGGTTGGGATGATGGTGGACAACCAGTGCATGCCAGCTTTGGAGGCCACCTCGATCAGGTGCTCTTTCATTTCCATGATGGCGTGGAGGGGATACTTGATGATCTGGAAAGAGAGGCAGGGGTGAGATTCATCCGGTACGGAACAGTTAAGGCAAACCGGTAGTTCCGGTGATGGTTTGACCCCATCCACCCGCCTCTGTGCTATTCTGTCCTATATTTCCTTTGTTTGAAGCCCAGCAGATCGGCGCAGCAGCGCGGATTGCTGGGGCTGCTTGCTATTTTCAAACGCATTGCGTGCGCGCTCCCTGAACCGGTTGTTACAGCAGTTGGATCCCACCACTGAAGAGAGCCCATGCATGGGTCATCCCAAGCAGCAGAGAGGCTCAAATGAACCTCGAGTTGTCTTTCTGGACAAGACTGGCAAGCTGGCTAGGATAGGAAACAAACTAAGCTCCGAAACAACACGTCCCAAGGCCCAGGCTTTGTCCCATCAGACAAAACAACGTGCTGGGAGTGACCGCACAGGGATCTTCCCAGGGGACAGAAGAGGCCCAACGGCACCTGTTTAGTCCAGTGGCAGGCCACGAGAGATTGGAAAAGGGTAGCTAAATCTGCAAAGAGTGGGTGGGCTGCAGCCAAGGCCCACCCACTCTAATCTGTTGCCCAATCAAGGTTGGGAAGCGCGTCTGAAGCGGTACACAGATCTCTTGAGGGCGCTGCCCAGGAGCTGAAGACCATACTTAACCACAACTCGGTGACCAACGGGCTGAATTTCAACAAAGCACGCTCTTCCCTTTTTCACCCCCCTAAATATGGTTGGGAAGGAGGGTGGGAAGCCTTGGTAAGACCCACCTTTTGGCTCTGCACCTGAGGCTGGGTGATCCCAGCGCCCCCACGACCTACGACCTGAAACTGGGCCTTCTGGAGACTCTCCAATGAAAGGGGCTCTTTCTCCCACCTGGTCCACGCTTGCCAGGTTCTCCCTCCTTTGTGGGCTGTTCTCCGGGAACCCTTTCAGGGTCCTCTCTGCGTCCTCCACCCTCCCTGACCAAAGGGGGCAGGGGGCGGGGACCAGTATGGCTTCGAAGCCCTCCAGCTCTTCACCTTTTGTCGGAACGGAAGCTCTTCGGGGCTCTTTCCTGTCAGCTCATCGTCATCGTCATCCTGAGGGATCATGCTTGATGGGATGATACCCTTGGCATACTTCTTGGTTATTTCAACGAAGTCATCCAAGGCGATATAGTTCTTAGCTAAAAAGCATTCAAGAGGAAAAAAAATCTCTATGGTTCCTCCTGAGCAGAAGGCCGGAGAAGGGTCTAAAGAGGAGAGAGTCCCACCCAGGCAGCCTTTCCCTACCTTCGCTGCTAACCAATCTCTCCAGCATCCTTCTTTGCTTCTGGACGGTCTTTGGAAGCGGCCCCGAACGCTGTTCTCCTTGGCCTGTTTTCACGGAAACACAGGTCGGTGTGAAGAGTTTTAATGGGAAGCGGGACACAAAGGGTTAAAACCAGAGGTGGTATTCAGCCGGTTCGGACAGGTTTTAGCGAACCGGTAGCGGAAATTTTGAGTAGTTTGGAGAACCAGCAAATACCACTTCTGACTGGCCCCGCCCCCATCTCTCCTCTGCCTCCTGAGCCCCGGCTGATTGGCTGGGTCTTCTTTGGTTGCCCTGCACAGGAGAACAGAGCTGGAAAGCTGGTTAGTGGGGTGGAGCAGAAATGGGGATTTTGCAGTAACCTTCCCCCTTTACTCCCTTGTTCCTTAACTGTTCCTTTCTCCTGGCAGCTCTGTGCATGTGCACACTGGGAACAGGCTCCAGCTGTTCTTCTTTCCCACTGAACTCCGACTCCGAAGGCAGCTGATAACTGTCGGACGGCCCTGGCCCCATCTCTGCCTCCGACGCAGAGCCCTTGTCAGAGCCTTCCCCAGACTCCAGGACTGGCCCATGTTCCTCCCCAACCTCCTCACTGTCTTGAGTCTGCTGCCAGCTCCGCTGGAGGGCCACAACAAAACTGTTGTAAGTCGAGGAATACCCCTAAGTTATTTATTAAATTTATAAACCACCCATCTTGCTATCCCAAGCAACTCTGGTTTAGCACACAGCTTTAACGTGCAAATGAACGATACAGACCCTCGCTGTCCACTTCGCCAACATTTTCTAACAGTTCTGAAACAGCCAGTTCCTTTTTCTTTTTCGGGTTTAATTTCGAGTAGATGACCAAAGCTGCTTTCCTCACTGCTCTTTCCAAATTAGTCTCATGTAATAATTTCTTCACCTCTTGCACATTTTCTGAAGTGATGCCTGAAGAAGAAGAAGAAGAAGGGGGGGGGGGTGTGTGGAATTGCAAAGGTTAGATTTGACTCCCCACCCCCGGTTGCAAAACCTCTCTATGGAGGTTTCTGTCCTGCTCTACAGAGTGAAGAGTTGGGATTTTCGGACAGAAAGCCACTTGAAGAGACTGGAAGCATTTGAAATGTGGATTTACAGGAGGTGTTATGTATGAGTTGAGTATAAAAAAATCAGAAATGAGGAGCGGATAAGTGTCACGCGCCCGTCGGAGTCTGAATCCAAGGAAGAAGCCAAACAGCTGACAGGGAATGGAAGTGTGGCTCCGTTGGCTGTGGAGGAGGCTGGGGAAGGGCAAAGTCCAGCTGGGCAGAGCAGGGAAAAGTAGAACAAGGGAGAGGGAGTTCAAAGGAACACCCAGGACCACCCCGTCTTCATCCTAGGGCACATAGAGAGGAAAGGAGAAGAGAGCAACGTGGATTGCGTGGCTTACGGGGGAGGAAAGGGCCCTGATTCCCTTCCATAGCCACAGCTGGGAAGACATAAGGGAAGTGTATAAGAAAGGCAGGCTGCGTCCGGGAGACTGCTGGGAACAAACGTGACTTTATCCTGTGTTGTCGTGGCTTATCTGTGTTCCTGGCATCTTCCCAACCATGTGAGTTTTACCGTGCCTTCAAGTCTGAAATTCGTGCTCCTGCCCTGCCAAACTAATTACTTCAGTTTGGCTTGTTTGGACTTTAAGTTACAGTTTGTGTTGACCATGTTTTGGACTTGATTCTCTGCAGCCAAAGGCTGTTCCTGGGAGAGTTTTTCTCCAGCCAGAAGGTAACCAGGACATTGTGGTGAAGTTGGAGCTAATAAAGGGACTCTTACTGATTTTCTGACTGTGTTGCCTTTGTGCCATGCCCCGGGTCATCACAATAAGCTGCCTGGGAAAGCCAAGGGAAATCATCAAAACCATTAAAAAGCAGAATATTTCGGGCATGGGATGCGACACCTGGAAAAATATGACCTACTTCACTTAATCCTCCAAGGAAAGATTGAAAGTTGACGAGGTCCAGGCAGAAGAACAACATCGTGGCTTCAAAATCTAAGGGCAGTGATGGGCTCCTGCCTGTTCGGACCGTTTCATGCAAACCGGTAGTTTTGATCACTGGCTGGAAGTACAGGCAATCCTCGACTTAGGACCAAAACTGAGCCCCAGATTTTCTTCTTACTAAGTGAGGCGCTTGTTAAGTGGATTTTGTCCCATTTTACAACCTTTCCTGCCGCAGCTATTAAGTGAAATGCTGCAGTCGCTAAGACAGTACCACGGCTGTGAAGTGGAGGTGGCTCCCCATTAACGTTGACCGTTGGAAGTGATCCCTGTGGCCTAAAGGGCGCCTCAACGGTCATTAATAGGAACCAATTGCTGAGCGTCTGAATTTTGGTCGCACGATCACGGGAAAGAGTCAAAGGTTGGAAAACAGATACGAGTCCTCGTTTTCAACTCTGAACGGTCGGCGAACAAACAGCTGTAAGTCGAGGACTGCCGGTGAGCGTGAAAACGTGCTCCTACCTTTTCCTTCTGCCAAACAGGTTCGCAGGATCTGGAGGGCTTCCTTCTGCCCCTGTTTGGCCGCCAGGATCAGCCACTCCACGGCGCTGCAGCTGTTCAGCTCCTCATCCTGCTCTCCGGCCAGCGTCAGGTAATGCTTCCCCACCTGCGAAAAACGGGAGATTTTTAACCCTCATTTCAGTCGGGAAAATGCGTTCCTTACTTAATGAACTGCAGGGATTCACTTAACATCCAGGTCATAAAACGGGGCTAAACTCACTCAACAAATGTCTTGCTCAGCAACGGATATTTTGGGCTCAACTGTGGTCATAAGCTGAGGGCAACCTGTAATATCTAGGAAGACAATAATCTTCATGGCCTTCTAGAGCGCTTGTTATAATATATAATTTATAGTATGTAATATGTAATGTGTAATGCATAATGTATAATATATAAGGTTTAATGCAAAATATATAATATATAGTATAAATCTATATGAATATATTATATATATCATATTATATATAACATCTACCATAATATGTAACGTGCAACGTATAGTGTATAATATATAAGGTGTAATGCATAACGTATCATATATAGTATAAATATATATATTATATTATATTATACATATTATATGATATATTATATAAGACATATTAAATAATGTATATCTACTGTAGTATGTAATGCGTAACATATAATGTATAATATATAATATGTAATGTGTACATAATATATTATATACAGTATATGAATATTATATATTATATATACAATATACTGTATATTATATATATTATACAATATTCATGTATTATATATTATAAATATATAATATATATTTACATTATACCTATTATATATCACACATTATATAATATATATCTATCATAGTATGTAATGTGTAACATGTAATATATAATATGTAATGTGTAATGCATAATATATAATATATAGTATATA